GTGTGTGTGTGTGTGTGTGTGTGTGTGTGTGTGTGTGTGTGTGAGACATTGTGTTTGCACGTATGTGAGGGTGAGGGAGAGAGTGGGGGATAAGGGGTAATATATGTGAGGGAGTCTGAGAAAGAATACAACTGTGAAGAAGAAAGAATGTAGGGAAGAGGAAGCACCTAGTGTTCCTGGACCAGTTGGCTCCAGGACATCCCTAAGGTCTCTACGGGTCTCTCTGAGTCACTGACCTGTTCGGATGCAGCCAATGGCCACCAGCCACCACTCAGGCACTCGAGGCAGAATCAAGGCGAGACGGTCTCCCTGCTGCAGGCCACAGGTCTGCGTGAAGACGTTGGCTGCGCGGCAGGTGAAGTCTGTCAGCTCTCTGAAACTCCACTTCACTTCGTCTCCTTGGCTGTTCACCCACCACAGGGCTGGGTTGGGGCCTCTCTTGCCTTCCTGGTCAAGATCACACACCATGTGTTACTTCCTGCTTCACAGGAAAAGGGCACTTATTTCCCCAATCCACTGTCACAGTCACATTCCAGTGTGAGCATAGCTCACGGCCTAAGACCCCATTTTAAATCATTTAAAGAGTCCAGAAAAGTTAGGGGCGGGGTGCGATCCAGCCAACTTCTTCTGGTCTACTGTAGCCACCTCCTCCCAAGTCACATAAAACCATGAATAGCTTCATGTCTCCAACTGAAGACTTAAAGCTCCATCCCCACGTGTCTTAGTTCCATGTAGACATGCATTCCTCTGTGTAACCCAGCTTTCTCATCTACGAAGTGGGGACAACAATATTACCTAGCAGGTCATAAAGTCCTAACGAGTTATTTAAATGAGTAAAGTGTACATAACAGTGCTTGGCACAGTAGGTGCTCAATAAATATGACTATTATCATAATTGCTATGCAATAAAAGAGGCAAATTTAGGTTCTGAATATTTGGGGAAATTAATTTTTAAAATTAAGTGCCCTTTAATGGTGAAATTTGGAAGAAGCAGACTGGGAAGGTCCAGGCCCTATTCCTTCAGAGAAACATCAAGTAAACAGACTAAAATGGCTTTGTTGGGGCTCTTGAAACAGTCAAGGATCTGCAGCAGCCAACAAATGCCCAAACAGCTAAGCCATGCTCAGAACAGTAGGGCATGTTGTGATGTTCTGCTCACTTTTGCACTCCCTTCTCTGATGTGGTGCCCCAAGGTTGGGAGGAGGTATTGCCGGAGTCTCAGCCCCTCTTTGGGACAGAAGGAAAAGAGTGAAACTTGTGGGCAACATTCAGTGGGGGGTGAGATGTAGCTGGAAAGGAATTTGTTTATTTATTTATCGGTTCCCTAATAACAAGTAATGTTGAGTACCTTTTTGTACTTCTTTGCTAACTGTGAGATTCTCAAGTAAACTGTTCAGATCTTTTCCCAATTTTTCAAGTGGGTTGTTTCCTTTTTATTGAGTTTGAGACCTTTGTATGTTGTGGAAGCAAGTCTTTCCTTTTTTACTTTCTTTATATATCTTTATTATTTCTTAAATTTATCAAGAAATAGGGTTTTTATAAGCAATTAAAGTTAAGTTCTTATTAGTTTAAAATATGTTGTTATAACTTTAAGACATTATATGTAATACTAGAGCCCCGGTGCATGGATCTTGTCGCAGTGGGGTCCCTCGGTCTGGCCTGCACCCCCTCACAATTCGGGGCCCCTCAGGGGATGTGAGACTGTGGGTTTTGGCCCAATCTCCGCAGGCTAGGCTGAGGGACCCCACCGGAGCATGAATCTGTGCACCAGGCCTCTAGTATGCATATAAGATGTTTGTTTAATCTCTTCCCACCCTCCAACCTCCCCATTCCCTCTGAGATTCATCAGTCTGTTCCATGTTTCCATGCCTGTGCTTTGTGCGTCTGCCCCCTGATGGTCAATGCACGGCAGAGCTACCGGTTGAACGGTCGAATGGTCAGACACTTAGTATATTAGCCTTTTATATATATAGATATGCAATTCACAGTATATACACAGACGGAAATGAGAAGAGAATCAAAACATATCACTACAGAAAAACCACACACACACACAAAACACCAACCAAACACAAAAGAAAGCTTTAAAAGTGGAAATGAAGGTCAAAAATAAAAGGTATGATACCAAGGAAACAATTAACAAAATGGCAGTAATAAGTCTTTCACTATCAGTAATTACTTTAAATGTAAGCAAACTACATTTCCCAAAAACAAAGATTGGCAGGATATAACTATATGCTGTCTACAAAATTATCCTATATAATAAAAGGCTAATATGCAAATTGACCAAACAGCAGAAAGACTGGTTGCTATGACATGCACTGACCACCAGGGGGCAGATGCTCAACACAGGAGGTGCCCCTGGTGGTCAGTGTGCTCCCACAGAGAGAGTGCTGCTCAGCCAGAAGCCGGGCACACAGCTGGCCAACGCAGTGGTGGCGGCGGGAGCCTTTCCCACTTCTGCTGCAGGTGGGCAGTAAGGAGCGAAGGGTCCCAGACTGCGAGAGGGATGTCTGACTGCCAGATGAGGTCCATCCCCCGAGGGGTCCCAGACTGTGAGAAGGTGCAGGCCAGGCTGAGGGACACCCCCCCCACCCCAGTGCACGAATGTCATGCACCGTGTCTCTAGTAGAATTAATAAAACCAATTTTAAAATTCAGATTTTTTACAATAAAATGCTAACAATATAATATCAATTTATATAAGCAAAACCATATTTACATTATAATTCAAATCCTATATAATAAAAGCCTAAGTGGCCTCACGTGCGACATCACAAGATGCCACCACAAGATGGCCGGCAGGGAAGGGCAGTTGGAGGCGATCGGGCCAGCAAAGGAACACAGTTGGGGGCAACCAGGCCTGCAGGGGAGGGCAGTTGGGGTGACCAGGCCTGCAGGGGAGGGTAGTTGGGGGCAATCAGGCCAGCAGGGGAGCAGTAAGGAGGCGATCAGGCTGGCAGGCAGAAGTGGTTAGGGGCAATCAGGCAGGCAGGCAGGCGAGCGGTTAGGAGCCAGCAGTCCCAGAGTGTGAGAGGGATGTCCGACTGCTGGGTTTATGCCTGATCCCACAGGGATTGGGCCTAACCCGGCAGTCAGACATTCCCCAAGGGGTCCAGATTGGAGAGGTTGCAGGCCGGGCTGAGGGACACCCCACCCCGTGCATGAATTTCATGTACCAGGCCTCTGGCATAATAACAATTATTCACTTATTCATTCAATATTAGTTAGATCTTATTATTTCTTAGGCACTGTTCTTAGACCAAAAGGATATCATGGTAAACAAGGCATACACATATGCCCATATGTAAATGTTTTAAATATTTATGGCCAATTTTCTTGTTTAACTCAACTGTCTTCTTTTCCCCAAGTGTTTTATAATAAACATGGTTTTTGAAAAAATATTTTTTTATTCCCCAAACAAAACATGTTCAGCGTAAAAATTCAGGCAATACAGAAACTTATGAACAGAAAAGGTTCTTATAAACAAAAAGATTTCTTCAAATTTCTCATCACATTTTTACTCCCTGAATGTTAGCACTGAAAATGGCTTAGTGTATATATTTTCCAGCAATCCCCACTCCCCCAGATGCACAAACATGATCCTTTGACTCAGATGATTGGAACCAAAGAATGTATCTCATCTGAGATAAGATTAATATATGAGCATATACATGTGTGTCTTTACAGCTATAAAAAGAATCAGTGCTGTGAAAAAAATTCTTGCCCAACAGGTTAAAGAATATTAACAAGTATTGATGACAAGTGGTGCACTGCTCATATACAGGGAGCCTGGTACAGTACACAAGATTTCTGCAGGATTTTAAAAATGATGGAGAAGCTGGTATATCAAGTAGAAAACAATTGTTGCTCAGAATTCTGACTGTGTTAGATCCTAACTCCTGCACCTTGAAGAAGATATCATTTTAGTAGTTATGTATTTTGTGCTAAAGATTAATTTGATAATGTGATATTGACATGAAGCTGTTTTTGAGAGGATAAAATACAACCCTTAAACTGGATTTGAAACTTAAAGTTTAATGGGGTGAGATCTGAAACCAAGGGATATTGAGAAATAGTTTTAAAAGATAAAACACTGAGTAAGTAACTCAGCAGTAGAAAGAAATGAACAGCCCCGGCCAGTGTGGCTAGAGTGTCTGCCCTTGCTCCGAAGGGTTTCGGGTTTGATTCCTGGTTAAGGGCAAGTACCAGGGTTGCAGGTTCGATCCCGGCTGGATACCAACTAATGGATGTGTCTCTCACATGTCCATGTTCATCTCTCTTTCTCCTTCTCTTTTCTCCTACCCCCCTCCCACTCCCTCTCTAAAACAAACAAACAAACAAACAAACAAACAAAAACAATGAAAAAATATCTTCTGGTGAGGACTAACAAAAAAAGAACAAGAAAAAAGGACACAAACAACTAATCCACAAAAACATTACACTGAGTAAAAGAAACCAGACACAAAAGGGTGCAAGAGCAGGTCAGTGGTTGCCTGGGGCTCAGGGTGGCGGTGGGAGGGGATTGGCTGAGAAAGGACAAAAAGAAAGCTTTTGGGGTGATAGAAGTAGTCTAGAACTCAGTTTCAGGTGTACAACCTAATGAGTAGACATTTATATAACTTATGAATATAACATTGTATGTCAATTGTAATTGAAAGATTTTAAAAATGATTGAAAAAATAAAGCTCTGGCTGGTTTGCCTCAGCGATTAGAGCATTGGCCCTTGGAACAAAGGGTCACAAGTTCGATTCCCAGACAAAGGCATGTAGCTCGGTTGCAGATTCATCGCTGGCCTCTGTCAGGGCACCTGCAGGAGGCCACCAACCAAACTGTCTCTCTCACATCCATGTTTCTCTCTCTCTCTCTCCCAATGCCTTCCACCCTTCCTCTCTCTCTCTCTCTCTCTCTCTCTCTCTCTCCCAATGCCTTCCACCCTTCTCCTCCCTTTCTCTAAAAATTCAATGGAAAAAATATCCTTGGGTGAGGATTAAAAAATAAAAGATAAAAAATAAATAAAGGCATCCAAGTCACAATAAAACAAACAAAACTCCCCCATGCATAATTTTATTGCTTGTATAAAAGGTTAGCTTCAGTATTTAAAAATGTTTTCATTTATTGATTGGTTTAGAGAGAGAGGAAGTGACAGAGAAACATCAATTTTTTGGTTCCCCTTATGTATGCTTTCATTGGATTGATTCCTGGAAATCAAACACACACACACACATTGCTCAGCTGGTGTGGCTCAGTGGTTGAGCATCAACCTATGAATCAGGAGGTCTCGGTTCAATTTCTGGTTAGGGAACATGACCAGGTTGCTGGCTTGATCCCCAGTCTGGGGTGTGCAGGAGGCAGACGATTAGTGATTCTCCCTCATCATTGATGTTTCTATCTCTCCCTACCTCTCCCTTCCTCTCTGAAATCATGAAAACATATCTATAATAATAAAAGGGTAATATGCTAATTAGACCGGA